AAAAAAACCTCTGAGGATCACTGGAATGGATTAGAAAAATGTGGAAATAACTCCACACTTACTCAGCCACCTTGTCTTTGACAAAGGAACCTAACACATTGACTCGAAGACATATAGCCCTTTAATAAGTAGTGCTGGAAAAACTGGCTTTTCCTTATGCTGAAGATTGAAACTGGACCTGTATCTTTCTTTCACTGTGCTCTAAACTAAAACTGAAGTGGATCAATGATAAATATTAAAACAGAAATATTTAGTCTGCTGGAAGGTAGTACCCTCCAAGATATTGGCGAAGGCAAAGTCTTTATGAACAAAACACACAGGGACTATCATGAAGAATATGGATTCTTTGATAGAGTGATAGTAGTCAGTTTTGCAGTTACTGTTTAGTTTGCAGTGAACAATACAGAAGTATTTTCCCTGTAGAAATACAAACTTTTTGGATAAAATATTTGCTTTCACCCATATTTAAAATTATAAGCAAATCCTCAATTTCCTCCATTATATTTCCAAATAGAATTTTTACTCTGAATTCACATTCATGGAAATGCACCCATAGAAATTACAGAGAATGATTATGAGTATGGGATATGTAGTTTTACAACAACACATCCTACCTAGAATGCTTTATGACCTGCCTTGTCTAGTGTAAAATGAATTGGAGGAAAGTCTACAGTAGTACATATATACTTACACCACATTTTAAACTACTGCATGTAACCCATACTATGGATGTATTTATGTTTATGTATACATCTCCCTACTGATGGGTGTGTATATTGTTTCTAAGATCTTGCTCATAAGCAATGCTGTATTTCCTCCTTCCTAGCTATGATTTTTAAATCCTTTATTATTTATTTATTTATTTTTAAATTTTTGGGGTACCAGGGATCTAACTCAGGTCCTTATGCTTGTGAGGCAGGAAGTGGAACCACTGAGCTAAATCCCTGGCCCTTAAATCCTTTATGATTGGATAATCTTCTTAAAATGCTAGGGACCTATGAAATGAAATAGCTAATTTTATGCAGTGGTTGACACTATCCCTCAAAATTGGTCCAGCACTTCCTTTGTTTAATTCTAAAGGTCAGTTAGTACTTCTTGTGATCTAGCCAAATATGTTTCTTTGCAGCTCTTGAAACCTTGAGCTTTTAGGGTGAATTTTGTTTTATTCTTTGCTTGCCTTACAATAATCTTTTTTTCTAGTTGTGCAGTTTGAGCAGACAGGAAAAATGCTCTTGGATAGACAAAGTACATGCCTTTCCCTTCTATGACCTGTCAGAGCTTTATTCAGTATATTGTAGGAGAAGACTTCCTTTGGGATGATGAAGTGATATGTCTTTTTAAAAAAATTTTAGCTATTATTACAACCAGTCATTTGTGATTCCATTACCTGAAAAAATGCCTCACTAGTAGTAAGAACTAAAGTCTCATTCACAGCTGAGTGATTCATTCACAGCTGAGGAGGGAGTCAGAATGGACAGGATTTTTTGTTTTGGCTTTTGTTTTTTTTGATAGAATTACTTTTGTGGGAAGATAAGATTTCTGATACTTGGTACAAGGAAACAAGAAGTCTTTATTATTATTATTATTATTATTATTATTATCATCATCATCATTATTTTAGATCTTAATGAAAGAGCAGGCACAGAATGTGTATGGAATGTCTTCAAGTGGAATCAGAAAAATGCAAAAACCACTGTTTGTATAGTGCTGATATCGCAGAGGGAACCCTTTGTGCCATTTAGCTAGCTGCCCTTGATGTAACAGACAGGCTTTGTTTTGGAACACAGGACAAGTATTCAAGCTTTCTTGCCTCTGTGGCCAACAGTTCTTCACTGTAACTTCTCATATCCCACATTCTTGAAAAGCATGCTATTTTTTTTTAACTTTCCAGCAGTACTGACCTAGGTAGATTAAGGATGCTGTCAGTTCGCCTGAGTGAGTGACTTCTCTTTTCATTGCCAAAACACATCTCAAATCTGCTTTCACATCCATCTCTTCCTCATTGACTTATGCTACCTTCTATGAGAAATAATGTGTTTAGAAAGAAGTAAACATTCACGCATAAGTGTCAGGGAGCCGTGGGAAATTTGAGGGGTGCTGGGAAGTTCCAGACCTCCTACTGTTGCTGTTTGGCCACGCTGGGTGTGTAAGCTAACCGAGTGCTCCTAGCTGTGCCCAGGTACGTGGGTCAACCACTGAGCTTGATCTTTTCCTCTTCTGGTTCTGTGAAGAAGGCCTCTGATGTACTTGTCTGTGCAGGGCTGAGAGGCATTTGGATTTGCTACATTAGGATTTAAAAAAAAAGGGGTGTTTTGCATGTCTGTTCCCTGTGAGACTTGACATCCTAGCCTGTCCTGTTTTCAGATGTCAGTGCTTATTTCAGTGTGTTTTTTACACTCTGTATTCAACATACCTGCTTGATCATCACAGTCACCTGAAATACTCTGAATTTATGGTCAGACAAGTTTGAAAAGCTTGTTTAAGGTCTTGGCCTGATCCAGTAGAACTATCTCTCAGAATTTACTTGCTGAGTCCTCTCAAGAAGCAAGGTGCAAAGTGGTGTCCTGCTCTTGGCATCTTATGATGCTCTGGGCAGCAAAACAGCTAAAACTACAAAAAAGTTAGGAGGCAAGCATCCCCCTTCTAGGGATCAGGAGAGGCTCAGTAAGTGCCATGATATACAATAATATTTATTCCTTGTTTCAACAATGATAGAATGTCTACCCTGTGCCAAACATTTGTGCTAGGTCCCGTGAACGAGGCAACTAACCTTTATTGAAGTATGTGTCAAGGGATGGATACCAAGCTCACTGCTTCACATACCTTTTCTCCTTTAAACTTCACCATTGTCCTGTGAGGTAGGTATTGTCAGTTCATTTTAAAGTAAGGAAACTCTGGTTTCTAAAGCTTAACTGATTTGGTCAAGGTCACAGATCTGGTAATAGGGAGATGAAGGATTCAAACCAAGTCTGCCAGACTCATACTCCCTTCTGTCTGTCTTTTGCTTTACAATGGTGTGGACATCTCCTCACTTTGCTCTTTTGCTTCAAACATAAGTTCTCAGGTCTGGATGTGTAATAGAATCATCCAGAGAGCTTTAAAAAAGTATCCTTACTTGGGCTTCGTTCCAAACAGGTCAAAAAGAGCTTTTGATGGGGCCCAGCATGAGCATTTTTAAAAACTTTACAGTGCACCTCATTCTGCCAGCCTAACATTTTCCAGCCTTCTTAGTCCATGGAGCTAATTATAGTTTTAGAGACTCCAGATAAGTGTTTCCCACCTTTTATTCAAACTGAAATTTATCAAAATATAGTGCATACCTTCATAATACAAAAGAGACATGAGCATGAGAGACCCATTTAGCTGGAAATTAAGAAATGTGAGGATCAAATTTTATGGAACAAGTTTTCCACAGTGAGTGTGACTAATTACTAGATGCCTAGAGCATCCCTGAGCTTCTAAATCACTGATGCTGAGACTCTGAGATCCCTTGGATACTTTTTTCTAGTCTGACTGGGGAGGAAAATTTGGGGGCATATGTTGGTTCCTGAAAGTTTCCCTCATCCTTGGTAAACAGAGGCCACAAATTGAATTTCTTCCCTAAATGAAAATAAAAGTAAAATAAAAGCTAAGTAGCTTGAATCGTTTTAACTTTGATGTATTAATATATATAAGCTAAATTTTATTTTGAATGCTTTAAGAAAAAATACTTTAAAAAGTGGAATAAGCAATACCTAAATTTCCTCAAGCTATTTTGAAAACTTAGTTGCTCAAACAAGTATGTATGCGTATGTAAGTTTCTAAGTTAAGAATTCTGCATTTCAGGCCTTCAACAGTTGATCAAACATCTATAATATGGTCAGTAATATTGTGCCTTTGTGAAATTGCAGTCTAATTAAATTTTGACTTTGCTAATTAAGTTTGATTTTGCCTTGTCTTCAACCAGCAAGTTGTGACTGTTCTTTAAAAAGTTATTTGCTAAATATCTGTGTCAAATATTAAGAGTGAATGGTCAATGGAAGTAGTCACATAGTTGTAATCCATAAAATTCTTAGAAAGGGAAAATATAGTTAAGGGTCATTTTATGACAAGTTTGAGGTACTTCTATGAGAAGGAAAAAAAATCAAAGTTATTAGGGGAGGGAGGATTTGAACTAATGGGCCGTTAGATGGAGAGAAACAAAGCAGTAATGGCCAGCCCCCGTTCTAAGTCACTTATGAGCTTGACCTCCACTTTGATGGGATAGTTGGATTGTGACTTTCCACTTCAGTCAAGAGTCGTGTTAATGGCAGTTACTAGAATAGATGATTAAAAAAATGTAAGCAAACAAAAGAAAAACATGAAAAATGGCCTCCTTTTTTACATTTCCACATAGGTGATCTCCATACCAGGAGATGAACTTGAACTTGGTTGGGCGGGAGACGGACCTGGTTGGGCGGGAGACTGGAGCCCCTCAGAGAATTTGGGATTCTTCCATTTTTACTGGGAGGGTTGGCAGGTATAACTTGTGTTGTTATGTGAGTCCATGAGAGCCTCTGGGCCCTAACTCCCTGCCCTCCGTGTGGTGGGGTCAGTTGCTCACTCTGAAGCACTCGACTGGTTTCTGTCTGTGGCTTACCCATGAGCAGTGGCTTGGAAGTGTCAAAGCATGAGAAGCATGAAGTCAACAGCATGTGCTGCCACCCCCTCCACATGGCTCTGCATGGACACGTCTGGGTGGTCGCCTCCAAGCTCAGCATTTCCTTCTTCCCCTACAGAACTCCCTGAAGGCTTCAAATCGGAAGAAGAAGAGAACAAGTTTTAAAAGAAAAGCCAGTAAAAGGGGAACTGAAGTAAGTTATGGTCCTGGGAGTACAGATTCCTTTCTGTCCCTGGAAATGTCTTAGTGATATGGCCCAAATGTGTTTTTGTAGTTCCCACCACCCATTGCTCCCTTTTCTTATTCTCTGCACTCTAACTATAATGGAATATTTTCTATCCAAAATAAATACATAAACAAACCTAGCCTTCTGTCATCGAAGAGTCTGAGCATTTGCATTTGCCTAGAAATGTCATCAGATAGATGCTGAGAAGGAAGAGGAGGACCCTGAAAACAAGACAGCTAACATTTCCAGGATTCTTAGAGCATTCAGAGGAAAAATCAAAAGCATATTTGAATTCTCTGTGGCAAATGACAGTTCGAGATACTTTTTCCTCCTAGGTGTGGATGAACCATAGAGGGTAGGCCTTGCCAAATGAGCTGGAGGGTTTTTGGAATGGTGGTCATAGTGGTGGATTCTCCGCCTCTGGCCTTGAAGTTGCATTCGTGCTGCAGATGTGTGTTCTCACAGCACTGCTTGCTTCTCCCAGCAGGAAAACAAAGGCCGTCCTTTTGTGATAAAGCCAATCTCTTCACCTCTCATGAAACCCTTGCTTGTGTTTGTGAACCCTAAGAGTGGAGGCAACCAGGTGAGTCGTTTCTCATGAGTTCAACTTAAACCATTTGATGATCTCTTGAAACCACAGTTCACAGCACCAATGAAAATAGCAGCACTAGGACCCCTCAGCATTGGCAGACAAATAGTTTCTCAGGAGGAGGTTACTGTTGCTTCGTTGGGTTGGGCAAGGCCTTCAGCTTCTGTGATTCATTCCTCTATGTCTGTAAACAGTTTCAGCAGAGTCCCTCCAGAAACCTCACTACTGAGAGTTTCCTTACAGATATTCAAGAAAGATTATTCCAGAATTTCTTAGTTATTATGTTTCGTTAGATTCTCACTTGTTATAATTAGAAAGCCATTTGGCAACTTATATTTACTTCTTTTTAGTGCAACTAATCCCTGTCTTCAGATAAAAGGGAGAGAACATTAACAAATACTACCAAGGCTGTCGAAAATATGTTTCTAAAGATTTCAGCAATCCTTTAGTATAGTTAATATTTTCTTGTTTGAGAATAAATAGCTAACATTACCAAAGTCAGTTTAACGATGCGTCTAAAGTGACAACAGTCTTGAAAGGACAAAACTTGTACTTCAATCCAGGTCTTCGTTTCTACATCAAATTCTCTTCCTTCTCTGAGCTTTTTTGTCAGTACTCTTCTGAGGCTTTGGCTTTCTGATATTTTCATGTGACTTTGGGGATACATAGGAAGAATATATACATTCTTTGTCCATTAAGTGTACATTTTATATTTTGAGACAAGATTCTTTGAAGTTTCACAATAAAAGCTGGAAATTTGAAATTCTTAATTACTTCATGAAGCATGGAGATTGACTCAATAGTCCAAATGATTTTGTTATTATTATTATTATTATTATTATTAGAGATAATGGGACTATTGCAGAATGCATTAATTACATTAATTACAACAAAACTTCATTTAAAAGAGCATAGGACTTTAAGGAAATAGTCTCTTTTTCTTCTCCTTCAAAATTCATGGTAACGGGCTGGGGATTTAACTCAGTGGTGCTGCTGCATGCCTTGCAAGCACAAGATCCTAAGTTCAGTCCCTGGTACCAAAAAAAAAAAAAAAATTCCATGGTAATTTAAACTATGTTAAAAATAAGTAGGGGCCGGGATTTAGCTAAGTGGTTCCACCACCTGCCTCACAAGTGCAAGATCCTGAGTTTGATCCCCAG